TATACAGCTCACGGGCATCAATGATGTATCCGGCGATGAACTTGTTTCGAAGCTTCTCGACAAGTACCAATCTGTATTCGACGAGGACATATCAGGACACATCGGTCCAGCGGTACAACTAGACCTCGTGGAAGGAGCGAAACCAAAGTTCCTAAAAGCACGGCCGGTTCCTTTCGCGCTCCGGTCAGCTGTAGAAGCAGAATTGGATCGACTGCAAAGTCAAGGCATAATCGAGCCAGCACAGCATTCGGATTGGGCAACGCCTCTCGTACTGGTTCGAAAGAAGAATGGCTCGTTGCGAATATGCGGCGACTACCGTTGCACAGTGAACCAGGTATCAAAGAAGGCAGACTACCCACTTCCCTCAACTGATGAAGTGCTCAGCCACTTGAGGGAGGCAAGGTCTTCAGCACCCTGGATTTAGCACAAGCGTACCAGCAACTTCACGTGACGCCAGAGACAGCAGAGATATTGACCCTGAACACGCTGAAGGGACTATACAGGGTCAAGAGGTTGCCTTTCGGAATTTCTGCAGCCCCAGCCATTTTTCAACGTTTTATGGAGACAATGCTGTCAGGCATCACAGGCGTGTGCGCATACCTAGATGACGTGATCATCAGTGGGAAAGACGCCACGGAACACGCCGAGAGACTGGAAGAAGTGCTGAAGAGGCTACGAAACTACAATCTGCGCCTCGGAAAAAACAAGTGCTGCTTTGCGGTGCGACAAGTCTTCTTTCTGGGACACCGAATCGACGAGACAGGCGTCCACACAAACGAAGAGAAAGTTCGAGCCATAACGGACGCTCCAGCACCAAACTGCAAACAAGCGCTTCAATCATTTCTCGGAATGCTGGCTTTCTACGACAGATTCTTGAAGAACAGGGCAACAGTTGCCAGCTGCCTATACCAGCTTCTTCAGAAGGACGCCACGTGGAGATGGGAGACAAAGCATCAAGAAGCCTTTGACAAGCTTAAGGCATTGCTGCTCAGTCAGACCGTACTGGCACACTACGACGAACAGAAGGAGCTTCTTGTCTCTTGTGATGCTTCACCATATGGCATAGGAGCTGTTCTGTCTCAACGTGATGACCAGAATAGAGAGGCGCCAATCGCTTTTGCATCTCGGACGCTAGGGCCGGCAGAACGCAAATATGCGCAATTGGACAGAGAAGGCCTTGCTGTGGTGTTTGCAGCCCACAAGTTCCACAAGTATATTGCGGGAAGAAAGGTGACTTTCGTCACTGACCACCAACCACTGCTCGGCATACTGGGTCCACAAAAGCCAACGGCTCAAGTCCTTTCTCCACGGATGACCAGATGGTGCATCAAGTTATCGGCGTATGACTACAGCATAATCTACAGGCGTGGCAAGAACCATCAAAACGCGGATGCGTTGAGCCGTTTGCCATTACAAGAACGTCTCGATGAACCCTGGCCTCCAGGTGACGTACTATTGTTCGAAGCGTTATCGAGACCTCCGTTGACTGCTGCCGAGATAGCACGCCTGACACAACAAGACAGCATCATGCAGAGGTTGTACAAGGCAGTGCAGGATGGTACAGTGGAGAAACTCACTGGAGATGAGTTTGCTCCTTACCGACGACGAGCGACCGCACTAGCACTACAGCGCGAGTGCATCACACTTGGATCCCGAGTGATCATACCGAGCTCAGCACGATCCCGTGTTCTGGCACTTCTGCATGCGGGTCACAGAGGCATGGTAGCCATGAAGAAGTGCGCAAGGAGCTACGTATGGTGGCCCGAAATGGACAAGGTGATCGAGGAAACGGTGCGACAGTGCCGTGAATGCCAAGCAACGCAAAAGAGCCCACCCAAAGCTCCTATTCCTACGTGGGACCGTCCCCAGACAGCATGGAACACGGTGCACGTTGACTTCGCGGGGCCACTACTCGGACGCACCTACTTAGTTGTTGTGGACGCATACACAAAGTGGGTGGAAGTCCGGCACGTGACACAAGCAACATCCGCGGCTGTAATCGACGTGCTCCGAAGCCTCTTTGCAACGTTCGGCATTCCCCGAAAGGTCATCTCCGACAACGGAAAAGCATTCATCTCCAACGAGATCAAGCAGTTCTATGCGTCGAACGGCATACAGGCTGCAACCTCACCAGCATATCATCCGGCAACAAACGGCCAGGCAGAACGCTATGTGGCGGAGCTGAAAAGAGCGCTGTTGAAAGATGCAGACAAGTCCATACAGTGCCGACTTGCAAGATTTCTGTATCGGCAGCACACGACAATACACACTACCACAGGTATGACACCGGCGAGAGCGATGTTCGGACGAGAATTGCTCTGCCCTCTCGATCTTCTTAAGCGGGAGACGGATAAGCGAAGTCCTGAGAGCCAGGAGGCATTGCAAAAATCACGCCGCTTCGCTATAGGGGATAGAGTGCTTATCCGGCAGTTTTTGAAAAAGCCAGATTGGATTGAAGGCGAAATACTGCGCCGCGTCGGACCACGATCCTGGCTTGTAAAAAGCGACCAAGGAAAGGTTCGGCGTCACCTCAATCACATGAGGAAAACGAGTCAGACCAGACAAACAACCCAATCGCGGACAGATTGGAGCGCAGCTGACGATCTCTTGGACGCAACGCCAGAAGAGACGCCATCGAGCTCAGCTGCTCAACCGCCTGAATCGCCCGAGATGCAAGATCACACTCCCTCGCAACCGTCGACGTCACAGGCAGTGGCCACTCGGCAACTGCGACCACCAGAGGTTAGGCGACCTCCAGACCGCTATGGAGACTTCGTCTAAGGGAGGAAGAGTGACATGTCGCCTTAGAAGACGACATTAACGAAGTGCGCGCGGGGCACTGGCGCTGTGGCACGAGCGCGAGCCTGGCGTCGAACGCTGGCCAGGAGTGACTCCAACGCCTGGGCTACGCTTTTGAACTTGTTCACGTTTCCTGTCCTTTAATAAATCGTCTACAGTCACAAGCGGCTGTACAGACGTAACAGTTGTGATTCCATAACAGCTTTCGCTGTAAAGATAAACAATCTAGCAAGGCCGCCCAGCTGCGTTGTTCTTGTAGACTTGGCCCCACCAGTGGGAAGATGCCGTACAAATATTTTCCGGGAACAAACAACCAAAGAACCCTGAATGTATACAAAAATGTTTAAGGGGTCATGATAATTCAGTGCAGTGGTTCGAGGGCAGAAAAAAACAAGTAGATTTGACTGTGTCCACTGGTAACATTTCCTGTCCTTTTTATCCTGCATCAACTATTCCTGCCATTTTAACTAGTAGTGTATTCAATTATACGGCTTATCCAGTCGCAGTCATTCCTCTGTGAGACTATACGCTCGCTTGTGGATAATAACCAATGTATAGAGGGCTCTTTTTCAGCTTGTTCACGTATTATATACACAAGGCTATAATATAAAAACACGCGTGGCAACATATAGGCAACATATTTGTTCTTTCTCACTGCAGTATAGCCAAGCCCGACTACATCGAACTCGGTTGTCCCTAATGTCAAATTACATTTGAACATGGCAAAATTTAAACGCCAGTGCACTGCAGGGAAATTGAAGGCTACATTGAACAAAAACGGCCGGAACTCTTCGTAAGTCGGGCTGCGCGAAACGCTCCAAGAAGCTTGTTTTTCTACATGGGTCTCTTCGGCATACATTAGGGAGAGCCGGCGGTGTGAACAGGAGGGCGCCGCGCTGAAAATATACTTGATCGCCGCCATCACGTGCTTTTTTCCATGACCAGTTACCAATGCGAAACAATGAAGATCGATAAATTGCACTCCGAGAACCTATAATGTCACCGTAATATGCTCATCAATATTTTATCACGTCACGGGTTTGAAGCTTGTTCTTGTATCTTGGGGGTCATTGGCTCAATGAGATTTGGAGACTTGTTTATGTGCATGGACATCAGCGGGGGGCGGGGGGGGGGGGTGCAAATGGGGCACTAGTCCACTTCAAGCCACAGCGCTTAGCCCACCCCTAGTATGGCCGAGTAGATACCGTCAAAATCGTATGCACACCTGCGATGTTGAGGCAATGTTTATAGCAATACCATGCTTTCTCGTGTATAACCCCCCCTTGCATATAATCTGCACCCAGAAGCCTTACGAATTAGAGCACTGCACGGGCCCGTGCCGGGCCGGGTAAGGCTTGTTGGATCAGTCACGGGCCGGGCCCATGAGCGTCGGGCTTGGGTCGAGCGGAGTCATGTCCGTATTAGGCCCAGGCCACAGACAGCCAGACTTCGATCCTCTGTTTGCAAAGAGGCCTTCGGTCATCGGCGACTAAGCAATCCATTCTCCCGCTTTTGGTCCTTGCGGGGGATCACGCTCCAGTCACCCAACACGTCCCATTCGATGGAGAGCGCTGAAGAAGCCGCCGGCTGCTTCACTTCAGCACTCTAATACAAAGTTGTTCTGGGAGCCCTCAGTCCAGTATTGCTTTAAAGCATTAAAGTTGTGACAGTGAAATAGGCTTTCAAAACACTCTAAAATATCTTGTTTGCAGCAGGTATTTTCACAGTAACCGAAGATTAGACACTGCCTTGTTTATGATCAAGGCATAGCTAATTGGCTTAAATGGGCCGGACTCAAACTTTTGGGGCCCGGGCTGGGTATGGGCCATATTTAAAAACACCGGGCCGGGCAAGTTGGAGCACGGCGTTTTGGGTTTGGCTGGAAAAATCGGCTCGTGCAGTGCCCCAGTGTGAACCACGGGAGGGGGGGGGGGGGTCCCACGTACAGCCGTGAGGCCGCATATTTTGCAATCTTGTGAAGCAGCGTTGTGATGCCTATTTCCACACCAATATTTTCACAAAAGATACAGTATTTTTTCTTTCAAAACCTGCATAATGAATGATAAAATATGTCGAATTACTTTTTTTTCAGTTCAATATGTGTGTGCTCCATTAGCATGCCATTTCATTCAAGTTGCACTGAGCGAAATGAGCCCCCAAGTCACAAAGCAACAGCAGGTCAATAACAAAGACTCTACACATTTTTTACATTTAAGCATCATTTATTGTACAGCAGAACAAATGCATATTAAATTACAGAGCATGGGCCATGCTTCGCAATGTATACAAAGAGAGCTGTAAAAGTAGTGCAACAAATCCCAATAAAATTTCATTGTAATGTGCAGGTGAGAAAAGTGCCGTTAATGCCATCGTGCTTCTTCCCCGCATGGCAAGTGCTTATTTAGCCACAGCTCACAGCAAGAACCAATTAAATTAGACCCCGAACATGTTACATCGTAAATTGCATGATATGGTGGAAGTCCTGTCCTCGCTTGAGGACGCCAGGGCCCAAAGGGTTAAAACCATAGGCAGCAAATGTTTTTCTAGTATACCCTTGCATAACTTGGAAATATGGCCATCACTCCTACAGCCCCGAAAGTTATGAATCAAAATAATCTGTACAGTGAAGTGGGATGCAGGCGTTATGAGGTGTAAGACCCGAGAAGAAGAAGAATAAGAAAAAAACTCAGTCCCTACAAGCTTGGCAGCCCACACATGAAGGCCATATTCGCAGATATTTGTAGTGTATGCTGCCTTTTTACACTGCCGGCTGTAGGGACATACTGAATTCAGCCTGGTTGCGTAAACTCGGTGATTAAAGTACAGCAACAAAGGTTATACGAATCTGTACAGTGTTGCTGGAGCAAGCCACCACTCTGAGCTAAGCCCGGGATGAAAGATTTGTCGAAGCCAACGTCACTGAAAACTCCTGACACAGCAGCACACTTGATGTCCTTCACATTACTTTGTTGTCTCAATGTTACTAACGATGTGAAAGGTTTGGCTTGGTGGTGGCATGTATGTCTAGATGTGCAGCTCAAAGGTAGATGATAGATGGCAACACTGTAGAGAACTTACAACCTTGTAGGAGGTAGTCACTAATTCATCGCTGCTTGCTTGCGAGACTATCCGTATGCTGTCCACAAACGCTATGTGTAATTTCGTAAGGGGACGCAGGCATAAGCCACAGAAAAGGCTGACGATGTTAAAGTGTACGTAAAGCAACAACACCATTGCATGACCGCTGCTCCGTTCGTGTTCCCACGCAAAAAACATACACCAACATTCTTTTTCCCGCCCAGAGGCAAATAATGAGGAAAGGAAATAGAGGAAATAGCACACAGTTGGTTTATGGAGGGAGGAGAGAACATGTACAATACACTCAACTTAACAAATAACTAGATTATCGTCACGCACAAAAAATAACATAAAAGATAATAACAATGGTGACTCAGGGGCACATGTAGCAACTTCTGCCTCCTGTATCATGTAAAGGTGATCTAGCAATCCAAATGAAGCCGGCCGTTTCGATGTAGCCGAGACATAATCTATTGACACGTCTTTTGCTGCATCTTAGGTAAGGGCACGCTCATACAGGAACAACTTGTGCAACTTCAAGGGAAATACACATCAAACATGACTTAATGCTGCTAGCGTACATTTGTGCTTGACAAGACATAAACCAAATACTGACAGGCCACACTGTGAAAAGAGCTCCGTGCTCAGCAGCACAATAACATGTAATTGCAGAAAGATGGAAAAAAAAACTAGAGGTATGCACGAAAATAAGCTTCGATAATTTATTTTTCCATGCCACTTCAAAAGTGTATAGAACACCTGTGTAAACAATCTGCAACAAATCGGCAGCAACAACGACAACAAAAACAGCCCTTCCGAAATTTCTTGCCGAGGCAGGGTTTCCACTGGGGATTGTGCATTATTCAATCGATGACTTCAGCTGCTGACCACACGTCACGCAATGCAATTATATTCCCACACCTGCCATGGTGCAGCCATGTACACTTCTAGCCATGTGACGATCGACCTAATCATTGTCACCAATATGCTTATTACAGGCTATGCTCGTTGAAACCCATTAGACGCCCATGAAACTTGCTTTAGCCAAGATCATGAAAGCTGTCACCGTTCAGCCAGAAGAAATGCCACACGGCGACAGTGCAGAAAAAAAGAAAAGGTGACAATTGCTTGGGAGATATTTTGTGCACAGGATATTAAAGAACTAAGAACTCAGGTTCAATGGCTTCATGTGTAGTTGGTTAGTTCTTGCGGCCCATGGAGCATAACGCCAAATCAGAAGAAGTTAGAAATGCCTCCACAAAGAATAAATTTGCTTCTGATACGACAACATGCCCCAAAAACCTTTGCTTTCAACTGCTTATACTATTATATTGCCACCTGGCGCGACTTCCATATGCGTAAGGATATGCATCAGCTGTAAACAAGGCATCAGTGAATGAACAGGAGCAGGTCGCTGTTTTGGAGCAGAGAGCACCGAATCATGACATCAAAGCTGCCCTGAAATGAAGTGCCAAAAGTATTTTGGCAACGGCGCACTGCCCTTGGAAGAGTGGTTTAAAAGTAAGAGAAGCGCATCACATTCAGTGGTGTCGCTGCAAATGGATACATTGCACACACTGGGTTTGAATGAAGCAATGTGTCCCGTGCGATGGGATGCCACAGATGGAGTGGCTCTTAGGTAAATTCTCAACCGTGTGCTTCTTTGAAAATCACTACAGTATCAAACTATACGCAATCAATAAATCCTTGCTTATCAACAATCAGAATAGAACGTAAAGCCATGCTGATTGTTAAACATGCAATTGTTAAATTATGGCCACATAACTTTCATCTTAGCTTGATAGTCTTGCTACTCAAACAACTGTTGCTGCAGGGCATGCAGAAGTATAAGCTTTAGCATTTTAGCCCCGTCGCACCTGACACCCTCGAAAATGCCAGAAAAAAAAAAAAATCGATGATGCAGTTATTACCTGAGACAGGAGCATTAGAATGGCTTGCATCTAGGATAATGTGTAATTTTGCATATAAAACATTGAGACTGGCAAACGAAAGACAGGCACAAAAGGACACAGAGTGCTCTTATGCATTTTCATCAGTTCATTATGCTCAAGTTGGCTGCAAATAGATGTATCGTCAAACTCTTTCACACTGCGAAATTTGCTTTAGTGACTTGGTTGGCTCAGAATGCTGACATGGCGGGCTATTTATATGCCTTCTTGGATATGATTCAAGTGCCAACGTGGTCGAATTCTTCAACGCCTGATGCTGGTCAATTTCTGCAAGCATGTCAGTTCACCGGTAAGACAATTTAACACCCAATGTCAAATGTGCGCAATGCGGACCATTCCATCTGCCTTGACTGATGAAGCCACAAAACGTTCAGCCTGAACCTGATGGCTGTTTGTGTCTGATCTCCTCTAGTCTGCACGTTCGCTACTGCGTGAAAAGCCAGCACACTTACGCTCGAAACTTGTCCAATTTTCTCCTGAAGTAATCTGGCTGAATGACACTTGAATAAGGTGTGGGATAGGCTGGACTCAACATTCGTGCTCAAGCCAATATTCTGACAAAGGGTCACATTTTCATTGAGCGAAGACAAGTGGTGTCTGTGTCAGAAAATTGATCCCAGCCAGGCACATCTATTTTTGTCCACTCTACACATCAATGCACAACTTGAAATCTATGAAGTAACCGCAACAAAGCAACAGCAAAGCAACAGTCAGTAAATGCACACAAGTAAGAAATAGAGGCAGCAAAGGCTGAGTGAGCAAGTGCAAGACGAGGAAAAAGAAAATCTGCACGTTAATACATTCCCTTTGAAGATGAACAACCACGTCAAAATGTGCAAGCGAACGATAGGTGTCGCAAAAGAGGGCGACATTCATCAAAAAATGCATGCCAACGACTAACGCTGCAGAGAGGTTATAATAGACTGCTCCTTTGACCTTTGCTGCAAAGAATGCATTGTGAAACACATCTGTACAGTCGTGAGCAATACAAAAGAGAACACTGACAATACCTCTTAAAAGGTCAAGGTAACTGAATACAGTTAGCAAGTGCAAGACTGTTCATAACACTCAACTGGAAGGGCCTCTCTCGCAATTCAATTAGCCACAGTCATGCCAGCACATTGATTGATTGATTATACACAAAATTGGTGTTCTTTCTCATGTTAATCATGGCTATGCAAGAGTACCATCTGCACTGTTTAAAGTGAACTGCTATTACATGCACACAAAAACAAAAACAAAATACAACAACAGTGAATGAGCTGGGCACAGCCGTTGTCTTATTGGGTAACGTTTCATCGTTGCTTCTCTATCTGTCAACTGCTACTCTGCCAAAATCGTACAGAACACAGCATGCTAGTCACCAAAAACATACAAAGATAACCTTTCCGAGAGATACCCTCGCTTGCGCCATTTATCCTCTGGGAAACAAAACGAGTAACAGAGCAGACAAACACCATGACGGCCATTTCATATCTGTTTGATTTCTTACGGAAGCAAGCATACAGTAATTAAATTAAGACTGACTTTCTAAAGGCAGACTGCCACTAATATCACTGTGCAGCAGGTGCTTGAAGCTGGAACCAGACTCACTAAACTTTGATTAAGAGCCCCATATGATTATGATACATCGAACTAAGATTGTAATAAAGTCACGGTTGCATCAGTGGTCAATGACATAAACATACGGCACTGTGAACAAGTCAAAAAGGGCCAATCTCATACATTTACGGTGCCTCGAGTTTGTTTGAAAGAGGCGACAATGTTTTTACTCTCTTTCGCCCAGCAAATATTGTAACTCTAGGAAGATGGTGGGAATATGTTCCTGCACGATCGGCCTTCGGTTTCCAATCAAGGTTTGTTAAGGCCAGGAATACTAGCACATTCATGCGTGTGCATGGCGGTAGACATGGTAAGTCTCGCGAATGATTCCCATGGATGTGATACCTGGTTTCTGATCCTTCAAAGGGCAGCTGCTTCATACCAGCTCATTTAGAGCCCGCAGGGTGTGCGATTTCAGCTGTTCACAGGTGGAAGCTGGTACATGAAAATGATGCTGTCGTATACGAAAAATCACCAGCACAGCTTTTTTTCTCAAGTATAACACGACTGGATTGCCTCTCAGTGGTCCTAAAATGAAAGGCTAACGGAAGTCTTTGCTTCTTCTGATGGGCACATATAGGTACAAGGAGTTTCCTTGCATGTGAAGCTCACAACCACAGAGATTACGCCATGCGCATGTACACAATAGTCTCTACCACAAGGGAGTGAGGCAGCAACTCCTTCGATTCGGACTACGGTCAGTTGCCAAATTGTAATGAGATTCGCGAGATGTCAACTGTTGGTACGAGGAATTGCTAAACAGTTGAAAATTAGAACCTGGCCCGGGATCTCCTCAGAAGCGCTTCCAGCATGACGATTCCGGTAGGTACAAAGATGACAGTAACCTGCCATGCTCATATTTTGAAGGTTGTGAAACACAGTCACTCTAATGGACATAATTTTTCAAGATTAATACAAGCTTCTGTCTCATTTGAGGTTTTAGCAATGAATATTGTACTTGCATTTTATGCACTTGTCATCATTTCCCTGCTTCTGCCATATGTATGAACAGGTCACCAAGGCCTTTGTCAAGTCGTTCTCACGGCTTTTAGCCTTGGTGACCTTCCAGTTTTGTCTGGCAAATAAAAACTTGCATTTGATTTTGAATAAGAAATGAATCTAGAACTCTGGAAAATCTTTTTTCTCGACTGACGGCCACTCTAACAAATTAGCACTATCCTCAAGGTTTTAAAACTGCAACAATAACAAATAGAGAAGGAGATGACAAAAAAAATTGAATCAGGTGAATTGCATTAGATGAAAAAAAGCTAGACACCCAAAGGGTTAAACAATAGAGCTTTTGCAAATGTGGGCCCTGGTCTGAAGTGGGTTCAGTGTTCCTCATTCCATCAGTGGTAAAAAACATGGCTTTGCAAAACATGACATCACCAAGATACACCGGTCACTTTCCATATTCACGAATTGGCAGAGCGCTCATAAAATTCCTTTGCGAACGAAATTACAGACTTTGATGCAGCCTTAACTAATGCCTCCTGTGAATGACTGACTGGGATAACTGAGAAGACAGAAAAGCCCGATTCACAGCGCCGTCAATGTCGCGTCATGTTATTCTCACGGCAGCAGAATTTGTCAAGATGCAGCAGTTTCTGTCTAGCTTCTACTAATTAGTGGCACACCAAGTGCTCCAGGCAGTGCATTGAGTGCCTTATTCATGCCATTTTCGAAGATAAAGCACCAAGCAAACCCTGCATCGTGGCAGATGCCGATGTGTGGCGGCAACATGGCGTAGTGTTTGATGGCTCGGCGAATGAGGCTTAAGGGCAGGCACACAGACATTACATTGGTTGAAGGGTGCCCCGACGTAAAGCGACCTGAAAAAATGGCCGCTCATCCCTCGCTCGACTATCCTCGAAGGAGCAGGCGAAAGGAGGGGTACAAGGTAGCGGTGCTGATCAGCCGTTGTGGGGTCCCCCTCCGCCCCCCAGCAGGTCTAGGAGAGCCGTGTCGTCCCAGCCGGGCCCGCCACCACCCTGGGGTGGTGCGCCCTGTGGCCCAGGTCCCCCCATGGCCAGACCTCCGGCCAGCTGAGCTCGAATGCTGGACTGCTGCTGCAGGTTTTGCAGCATCTGCTGCTGGCGCATCTGCTGCACGGAGGTCAAGGGGCAGGAATAGAGGTCACACCACCGATCGAATTTGACAGTACCATCTGGGCAAGGAGCACGAAACAGAGGACGAATGAAAAGAAGACGGGCACTCAGAGATTCACTAAGAGTGCGTGTCCATTTTCTTTTTCTTGCTCCTGCACTTTAAGCTTCGTGCCTAAAGATGTTGCTCAACCAACCAAGATCCGATTCAGATCTTCATTTACGGGACATTAGAAAATGTACGCCTTATTGCACATTTTAGTGAAAAAGATGTAAAAAACAAGCAAAAAGAAAGATTGTGACTAGCACAAGAATGCCAAAAAGTATTTATATTCCCAGGAGAGGAATATGCTATGAGGACAATTCAAATGTGTGCAACCAGAGATTCACACTTCATTACTACATTTACTCACATGGTGAGCTATATGCTACTAGAGTGCCCTTTCTCGGGCTAGTTGGAAGAGCACAGTAGTTTTCAGATGTGTTTGATGAAGACGAGGACACAGTAAGGCACATAACAACCACAAACCTTATGACTTTAGCAGCTCTAGGAAATGTAAAAGAAGTGGATTGTGCATTATCTTATTTTTAAATACCACTTGAAGCGATAACAGTTATATAGGCACGCTCGGTGCGTTTTTGCCATCGTAGTCGTCATGTCATGTTTAATATAAAGATTGGTAGCATCACCCCTTGCATTGTATGTGCTGCACGTAAGTAAAAGTGCATGAGCGCTCAGCATGAAAGTAGCTGAAGAAGAGGTGAAACGAGTCGACCATACCTTTCGCATCTAGGGTGCACACGTTAACATTGTTTTACGTGCAAAGCCTGCAGTGAATGACTCCTCAAGTAGAGAGAATCCCAACACCCTGCCTGAAGAAAATGAAGGGGCGTCTGTGTAAGGGTGCTGCTGCAACACTCGAGCAGCCGTGCAGCTACCACCTACACCTCATACAAGAAATAATTTTTTTACCAGTGGGCTAGCCGGCACCACATCTCGGTCTCTTCTTGTGATGTAGCCTGAGAGTTCTAAGCCACCATGCTGGCCTAGGCAAGACATTCTTCATCAATAGCTTCTGCCTTGTTTGTAAGATAGTGCACTCGAGGCCCTGAGCGGAAATGGAACTACCCAATGCTGAAACCACAGAGAACGAAACTGTGGTCGCAGGCAAAAGGCAAAAGAATCGCAGACGCTGCCCGTGCACTTTCACAAGCATGTGCGTGTGGTTTACGTCCACTGGAATGAAGCTAATCGCGAATTCTATTGAGAGAATAGGAGCCCTCTGAAGCCCGCTGAAAGTGCTCTCCTCTGAGCCAGCGTGTGCTAGTGATCAAACAAGAGGAGAGCTGTCATACAATGGTAGAGCGACAGCACATCTGCTACGCTGACAGCAGCCAGGAGCAGTTTGCAGAGCTCTCGCCTCAAAAGCAGAGTAGGCACAGTATCATGAGAGTCACACGACTTCTAAACATCACATTCTCCGTATTTGTCTCAATTTTGCTTCAGCTGGCCAGTGCAGCGACTATGGTAGCGACCATATGTACTTTGACACCACTGATGACGATGACGGCTACACAGTGTACATGCTTGCTGGATGCATCATTGCACAAATTAACTCTGTAACTGTGAATTAGGATAATGCCAAAAATGCAAATGACAGCTTTCATATGTATTTTGCTGCTGCTTCACAGAGAATATCGGCACTTCAAGTGTTCTGATCCCGTGGTACATTTTCCTCCCCTCGTCACCTGCTCTCCAGAAGCAGGCTACATTCAAGTGGCATACAGAGTGGCCCTGGCCTCAGTGTTCTGTTCCTCACTGCACGACACTCCTACTGTTGTTCCCTCAATAAAATTCGACCCAAGTTGTGCTGGAACCACTGCAGAAGAACCACGAATTACGCAGTCATGCTTGGCCCAGTTGTCATGGCGCTACAACCAAAAGCCAAACAATAGAAACAGAACCTTAAGAGACTAAGAAGGTGTATTCTGCTTAACAGGAGCTTCGTTAAGAGGAGCAGGGGTGCACAATTTAACAATGATATCAATTATATGGGAGGCAGTTTTGTTTAAGCAGCACAAATAAACCTGCTTATAACGATTCTCCATGTGAAGAATTTCTCAATATAATTAAGTTTTTTTCTATTCACTGCCTTCACTCCATAGAAGCACATGTATTTGCGACCTCTATGCAACAAAGTAACAGTGGAAGACATCCTTACTATAATGAATTTTCGCCACAGACAATCTAGAAATTTAGCCTCAAATGTTACTTTGGCACGAGCATGTATCTTCCGTGGTTGCCCCACCGCCGACGAAGTGCAATGAGGTGGCACCCACGGCGCATACATGGCTGTCACGTGTAAATATCACAAAAATGTCGACGCGGACCACCGAGCACTGAGGGACAAAAAAGAAGAGCGTGGTGGCACGGTGGCACGAGGCGCGCTCGCAGTGTTCGGGCCAGTGCGTGTAATTCCGAGCTCGGACGAGTGAGACGTTCTGCGGGCGAGACGCGGGCGTGTGCACGAGGACCAAGGAGCCGGGCGAGGTACAGGGTGGCCGAGGATCCAGGTGCCAGGAGAGTTGCTGGCTGAATCGAGGATCGCCGAGCGGTGCCGAGCCGTACCGAGCGACGCGTCAGACTTGGACGTGGGTCGCGAGCTCATGAGCTGTGCACCCGAGGGTACCTGGCGGTGCCCTGGCTAAGGCGAGAAACGCCGGTGACTGAGCTGCCGCACCGCAGCTGTGGCGAGCAGAATTTCAGCCCGACACAGACAGTGCTGTGCTGGCCAGAACCCGCACGTGGAACCGCTACGCCCGGGCGATGATCAAGAGCTCGGAAACAAGGTCTGAGGTCGCGCTAGTCCAGGCATATCCTAGACGACGCCACCGCTGCTCGAGAGTCGTGAGTCTACGGGACTCTTCTTCCTCATGTGCCGTGGTGGTAGTCCTGACGGCGTCCACATCACTGCCTTTTCATAGCTTTTCTTTTGTATATACACGTTTGAACTCGTCCCCCTGTCTGTTTCCTGCGCTGCTGCACAGTAGTGGAAGTGCTCGAACCGTCCTAAACATCACAATAGCCACAGTGACTCTCACTGTTCTTGCCGTCGTTATTGTCGCCACATGCGAATGCACGGATGAGCCCTCCTCCTCCCTCCGAACCAAGAAAAGAAAAAGTACTTTTGCTTTGCCAATGCCGTCGTTTTAGTTAGCATCATGTATGTGGGGCTACGCTACATAAGGAGGGCACTTTACCGAATAGTTTTCTGCAGTACAGTTGAACCCCTTAATGAGGCATGCTCCCAGCATCCATTTTTGTCTTTTATATGAGATGTCTCTCTTATAAGCAGGGTACTATGCATGCATTTTCTTATCAACCTGTGCTTTACTGGAGACACACTAGTGTCTCTTATAAAGGGGTTTGACTGTATCTGTGTCACTCACTGTTCGTTTTCGACGCCATGCACAATTGCATGGTTTCATTGACAACATTCAGCTTCGCTGTTTCTTCATTTTTTTTTTTTTTTAAATTCAGACAACCGTGTCGTCACCACTGAAGGAATGTCAGATTAGGTACTGATGGAAACTCACTGACACCAAAATGACAATGACAGATCTTCAGAGGTCGACTCGTCACACGCTTCCAGCTTGCGCCGTGCCGGGAGTTTGTGAGATCGTAGCCTTCGCGATTAACTCTGGCAACAACACGATGGCGTGTTGAATGCAATGCAACGAATGCGATAGCAACATATTGTAAAGTTGCTATCGCAACATTACAAAGTAATTGATTGATAAATATGTGAGGTTTAACATCCCAAAAACCACCATATGATTATGAGGGACGCAGTAGTAAGGAGCTCTGGACTCTCTAAATTTCGACCACCTGGGGTTCTTGCGCCCAAATCCGAGCACACGGGCCTACGTGCGCCCAAATCCGAGCACACGGGCCTACAGCATTTTCGCTTCCATTGAAAATGCACCTGGGATTCGAACCCAAAACCTGCGAGTCAGCAGTTGAGTACTTTAGCCACTAGACCACTGCGGCGGGCAATGTTACACGAAGTAAGGCTAGCAGCCAATTCTTTTGGATTTGATATCGCGGAACACCTACAAAACGTTGGTGCAAGCAAATGCAGCTACTCCAAAGAGAAGTGCTCTTTGCGTAAGGTCTGTTCACATTGGAAGTGCATTGATGCTTGCCGAGATAGCACGCGCGCCAGTGATCGCACTCTTAAAATCAAAGTTCAGCGTTGCGACTTGAGCGACACCCTCCCCTGTTTGTTTTTTTCCCCCATGCTTCATGTTTGTTCAAGACAGGTGGTTTCCTTTCTGTTTGAGCATTCGACGGCAGTTTTGACACTCGGGCGGATGTTATCGTATGCGCCTTCCAGGTGATAGAGAAGGGCCGGTCCATTTGATTTGTGCTTTAACAGCGCTCAAGCGCTTTTACCTGCTCCTAAAGTTACGATGCAGGGGGCATGTTACCAAACTGAATTTGTTACAGAACATGGCGGCGATGGCAAAAACCCACTAAGGGTGTCCATATAATTGCACATATTTTCTTCCGCCAAATAAGCGTTTTGGGTCAGCTCTGCCTTCAGTTCCCCTAGAGTTTAATTTGTGCGTTTATTTCTTGAATTTTTGTACCGAACGTGCATATATAACAAAATCCTAGTTATAAAAAATTTTTTCGCGAATTTGTCAATTTCGTTATATTCAGGTTCAACAGAGCTTCCTTATGAGGAGATTTTCGCTTTCTGAGAGTCTACTGTTCTGTTTGCTGGAGAAACAAAAAAGAATCTTGACTGCAAATCTTAGTGCTGACCTGCTGAAGAATATGCCGGAGGTTGGGTGTCTGGTTCGGCTGGAACCTCTGCTGCTGCTGTTGCTGTTGCTGCTGTTGCTGCTGCTGTTGTTGCTGCTGAAGCTGCAAGAGAACAGCAAAAAATGCATCATGCAGCAATGGAACAGCAGATGAACACCGCACCAATGCATTTCGTCAACATGCAGGTGATTACACATACAGCCAGAACACAATACAACAAAGTAAGCTGGATACGTTTATCTATCACTACGAAGGAATGCACAACAGGAAGGCCCCCGACCTGTTGTGCCTGATGTGTGACAACCCGTTGGCGTTCCAATAAGCTCTGCTGCTCTTGGGCTTGCTTGTACTGGAGCTCTTTGTACTGGAGCTCCTTGGCCTGTGCTGCCTCCAGGGTTTGTTGCAGCTGCTGGATCTTCAGCTGCACACACATCGGTAAAGTTCTGTCTTAAAAGTATATGCTATAACTGTGAAAAAAAGAAAACCTGCAGTGCTTAAGCGTACTAGTCAAACCTCCTAACTACTTACCCGCTTTCGATTATTGAAGGCTAAAACCTAGCTGCGACCAATCTGTGACATAGTCTCATAAAGCCCAATACTTTCGCTATCTGCTCACGCCATGCTGGTTAGTCCTATGCCTGCTGCTTAATGTATGCTGTGATAACCTTTTGTGTCATAAATGTTTCGTGCACTCCTGAACCTGTTGACGCCCCAATGCATCACAAAAAGTTTTCTGTCATGACGAGAATCAATGATTCCAACTTTCGTGCAAGTGCAGTAATGCCTCCGCGACTGAGCAATGGGTACAAACGAAGGTATGGTGGTGGCCATGGATAAATGCGCCAGCATGACTTATCACTGACTACCAGATCTCAAGAAGTATTTTCAGCTATATCTACTCGGGCACACATGCGGTGTAGTGCTACTTTAAGCCCACTGCATGCTTTAAATAGGAGACAGCCTGAACGTGCTTAGCCACTGAATGCTGCCGCCTCATTGCACTTCAAATGTGTCTTCAAACATACACTGCTTTGCAGAAATGAAAGCTGCTGGCTTGAGCCAAACGCTGCACTTGAACATGGCAGGTTGTTGTCACCAAGAAACCTCACTGCATTGTCGCTATCACCCTAAACACACGCGTACAGCACAGCAAGCGGAACGGCAACGGCGACGTGTACCAAGTAGGCGACATGCTGCATGCAACTAGCCAGAAGACGATTGGCTCCACATGGTGCTGTATTACATTTCATCAATAAAACTGCGTCAACTTTCGCTTAGTAGGAGATCGTGATACAGACGCCCGCACATTTAGCACGGAAAGTTGACACTGTCCGCTCTTTTGCTATCAGTCCCTGGGCCTTCTAAACTCTGTAACAGTTTTGAAATGCTCTTTGGGATCGCCAATGCACACTATTGGCTAGCCAAACCGGCCTGCCAGTCTTTTCTGTACTTTGGAGAGAGAAAGAAAAGGTTTTGTGGCAGGTACTTTCGGCAATATTTGAAGAGGCACTATCTATTTCTTTTGTTGACAGCGATGCCACACATCAGGAGACACAAATTTGTACTTTGCGGTTAATGTGCACTACCGTTTAATGTGCATTATTCTGCATTCCTTGCTGGCATGTATAAACGACATTTGACTGCTCAAACCTCATTAATACATACACGCTTTGAACAAACTAGCTGTTAAAACGTACAGTGAACTCCCATTACATGCAACTCGCTTAAACAAAAAACCGCATAAACAAAACTATCTAGACACATTTGGTTGGTCTCTTATATATTTAATGATAAAAAGTTTTGGGTAATCGGAACATTTTTTTTCGCTTACATGGGTTGAATGAAGCTAAAACGGGCAAAATCCAAGAACCGCAGAAGTGACCACGGCAGTCTACCAACCATGAAGAAAATGCCAAAGCTAGCCTAGCCAAGCTAATCCAGCGATTGCACATGTCCGTGTACGCCGAGCAGCAAACGATCCTTCTCATTTCCATCTTTTTTGTTTCCGTCTCACCGTGAACTTGAAATGAAAAAAAAAAAACAACAACAACAACAAAAAACGGCAGCACGATGCACTTTTGCTCGCAACAAAAGTAAAAATCATTCAAGAACTGGACCGCAATGATCTATTAAAGACAGAAATTGTGAAGAAGTTCAATATTCCCAAGTCCACACTCTTGAGGATACTCAAGAACAAAGGGAAAATTGAAGAAACTGAAAAGTTTGGAAACTTTGCCACAGACAAAATGCGGATGAGAACGGTGGCGTACAAAGAAATGGAAGATGCTCTTTTTCTTTGATTCAAGCGTGCGCGCAGTGTGAACTTCCCGATGAGCGGTCCCATTTTTGAAGAGAAGGCCAAAGAGATTGCTGCTCGCACGGGGATCGAACACTCGCGGTTGAACGATGGCTGTCTGAGTCGTTTTAAAGAGCGGCATGGTCTTGTCTTTAACATAGTTCCTGGAGAAAGTGCGGCTGTAAACAGAGATATCTGCAAGAAACGAAAGCAAAATTTTCCTTTCCAATCAACTATATAAGCATTGTATACTTTAAAATGTTTTTATTCAGTCAGCCACAGTTGGTGTTTTTAAAATAAAGCCATATTTCATTCATTTTGTGGGCATAGCTTTTAAATGAAATGTTTCATGAATGAAACAAATTTTCTTGCCCCTTCGTGTTCCATTTAAGAGGAGTCCACTGTAGTTGATATAAATCTCCAACCGAGTTCCATAGTGCCCAATACATTCGCTGACCACTTACGCCGTGGTGTTTCATCCTACGCCTACCATTTAGTGGGTATCCTAGGCCTACCACTTAGTGGGTACTTAGTGTGCATTGCCTACAGGAAGCTTGTCACCACCGTGTTAACCAAACAATCTGCTCATCGCATCTGTGTACAGTCAGGAGTGAAATGAGTGCGAAGAACTCTAGCTCCCGCAACAAATGTGTGCACACAGTACAGCAAGCGGCCCAGCAGAGACGACGTGAGCCATGAGGGAGATGCACTGCACGCAACTGCCCAGGAGACGATCGGCTTCATGCGACTGCACCACTTTTCACTGTGTCGGTCTTCGCTAAGTGGCAGGTTTTATATCACGGTAAGTTGACGTATATCAAATAGACGACATACATCGCAGAAAGCTGACACTGCGCGTTCTGTCCCTATGTTAGTCACTGCATATCCCTGACTCTGCTGCTGTTTTAAAATGCTGCTTGTTGTGCCACCACGCACTGTCTGCCAGTCATGCTGGAGGGCCACAACATTTTCTCCACATTGGCAAAAAAAAAGAAAGAAAAAAAAAAGAAAGAGAAAAGCCATCGCAGTGAGTACTTTAGGCAATATTTGCTGTGGCATTGTATTTATTTTCTTGATGGTGGCAATGCTGTTCGCGAGGAAATGCTAAGTTTTACTTGGTGGTTAATGCACACTACCGTTAAAAGTTTAGTTACATCGCATTCCCGGCAGGTGCATGTTATTTAGGTTTCACTGCATACATAGGGCGTTTCTCAGCATGTGAAAAAAACGTTAAATGTAATTAAATTGCATGTGGTCAAGCAATCAACAGAGCTAGCTCTACAGGACACTGACCAGGTTCTGCTGTCGCTCAGCCTCTAGCTGGGAGAGCCTGTTGGCCTGCTGCTGCGACACTGCGGCCGCTTGCGCCCCTGGTGGGAGACCCTGCGGCGGGACCTGGGGTGGACCCGGGGGACCTCCCTGGGGTGGGGCCCCTAGAGGCCCCCCTCGAGGCCCCCCAACCCCTGGCATGGTGGGTGGCTGTGCATTGGGGGGCACCTGCTGTTGCGGGGGACCCTGCTGCTCAGGAGGCATCAACTGCAAAAGGCACGGCAGAAGGATGGGGAAGGGGTCAGTACGGCAAACCTGAATGAAGCGCAAAGAACACCACGACAGGAATGTCTTGCCGTGGTAATTGTTTGAATGAACACCTGCAGAACCAATAGGACAAGAGTAAAACAATAAGGGAACACAAAGAAGACAAGTGACAATCGATTACACACACAAAAAAAGAAAGAAAAGACAAGATCTCAAAGTTCCACTTCCCAAGGCCACGATATGATAATGAGGCATATCAGAGCGGGGAACTGAGGATTGATTCCAACCACTTGGAATTCTTTAACATGCACCTCAGTATAAATTTGTAGGTGTTTTTGCATTTGGTCCTTATTGAAATGCAGCTGGTGAGGTTGAAACTCAATTAATTGAACCCATGCCTTCAAGCTCAGTAATGCAAAACGTTAGCCGCTAAAAGCCACCATGGCAGATGATCACACAAAGCTGCTCTCCATGGCCACCGCACATTACTTCTGCATTATAAGAGAAGATGCCTAACAAAATGAAGACGGTTGACATGCAGTGAAATGGCAATTAAGTCAAGAGGCAAGGGTCAATGCAAAGCAAAGAGAAAACTTGAAAGAAGGTCCCAGACTTTCAAAGCACTGAAGGGGCACTGTGTACTATACACATGTCCTTGTTAAGGTGGTTGCCTCATGGCAAGCGACCTTGCCTTCCAAGACCCACTTCCTCGTTTACCTTATTGATTTAATAGGTGCATACAGAACTCCACCAGTTTTGGGTGATAGCCCCTCATATGAAGCCTTGGCGATACAACATGTACCACCACAAGTTCTGTAGCATCAAATATGAATGAAATATCTACTACCACTGCCCACAAGCCTAAAATACCTTTTTTTTTGAGAATTTATGCACATTCCTCTGCAATACCCATTTCAACTAATGGTGGCACAGATCATAATTTAAAGAACTGAAACAGAGTTCACTGCACACGCTGGGACTGAAACTTCCCAGCTGTTCACGATTTTGTCACGTTAGTCACACCTGCTGTTTTCATCTTGCATGATGTATCTGATATTGCACACGACTATGAAAACAGCAACACTGCCACACACTTGGCAAACTGCTCTGCAGAAAGCCGACATTACAATACCATTGACAATTAATTAACACTACAACAGCTGGCCCTGCTGGCTTTATATTCATGAATTGTTTACCAATATGAAAGGCACAAAATAAACAGTAAATACAGTCCCTAGAAAGGCATCAGCAAACTCTTCAGACAGGAATACTCAACTTCACAACGAACAGTTCTCCCAAAATTAATAAGACCATGTAAGTGGCTGAGTGCACCAATGCCTAACTGTTCAAGACTAGAGAAGAACTTGCGACAAGCGGTGAGGCTAGCTAGGCCTTATTCATATAAGGAGGGGGACTAAACAACAAAAGAAACATAAATATGGCACTGCAGGCATTAAATTGAAAAGAATCCTCCTGTGAAACATTCACCAATGGCCAAGGTAATGCGAGTCAAGGGCAAGCATTCGTGTCGCTGCACTGCTGAAGATTTGCACAGCTGCAACACAAGTTGTCTGCAATAGACAAGCCAAAAAAGAACAGTCATTCTGCTTAGAGAGCAAGGGATAATACAGGAAGCCATTGCCATGCCTGCTGCATGTTCTCTCAGCACCTACCTTTCAACAATACTGCACTGTGAGACCAGCCCAGCACATGCAAGTAGCAATGCCAATGCTCAGCGTCAAAAGCAAGTGATTGCCTTTCCGCTCATCAGCAGCGGTTCAATGACACGTCTTCCATAACTGACTGCCCTAAGTGTCGTCATGAATGAACATTAGCTGCAGCATTCTGTCGTCCTTCCTTGCCTTCATTTGCTATGTACTGGCAAATTCTAGGCTCCCCCGGAGACACGAAATCTGTTTTTCAAGTCTCATTTTCTAATAAAAAAATTTCCTTTTAGACCATTTTCGCTACGCTTTCACTAGGCTGCATATTCGCCAGGACATGCGTACACTAATTAACAGTGAGAATGTACAGTTACATCACCACTGGGTGCAACACAAGGCTTTGCCTGAAAAAGCGTCACACAGAACGTGCTGTTATGATCAGGTGGGAAATGATGATGATGTTATCCCGATTCAAAAGGGAGGCTCAATATGGTTCACGTACAAGGTGTCTACCTTGCTCTCTCAAAAAACCGTTTACTCATCTGGCGCTCTGAAAAGGCGTGTGGCATGGCTCACCACGCGTGGCCACTGCCCTGCCAATTAAGGGACATAACACACGTGACTGTTGCATAAAGAGGCTCAAACCTTAGGACCTCGTGATCGAACAACCTCCTGTAGATGATGGCTGTTCGTGGTAGGCTGGTTGTGAGGTGCAATGCCACGCGTGAACTCAGCCTGGAGTATTCCTTGCGCTTGTCTGGAGGGCTCGGGCTATTGTGGGTGATGAGAGGCAGGTGAATGACGCGCTTCCACAGGACAGGTTGGGAGAAACACAGGGCAGGCACAAGAAATGGCACTGCGTCCAGCATTCACTACAGCTGGATGCCAAACTACACTGCAGGCACTAACTAGCATGCACATTCACGAAATGGCTGGCACAGTATGCTGCACAAGCAGATGGTTTCGCTACAGGAAGCGTGAAACGAGACAGTGATCAGTGAAACACTCCCGAGGTATTGTCTTTGACGATGACTTGTGCTAGTGTGCAAAATGGGGAGATGCACTGCTGAGTCCTTTTTGAGATTACCATGGTCACTTGAGCACAAGCAGACCAAGTGACATGAGGAATGTCTAGACTACAAAAGAACACTGTTTGCACATGATGACCACTGCAACAGTACAGAGCCATGACAGCCTGCAAACATAACTTTTTGTAGTTACTCGCGTGACGAACGCACTCGCATAATAAACACACCCACAATTTCAGGAGTCAAAATGTGGAATTTTTTTCTCTCGCGTAATAAACGCCCTCCATTCATTCATCCGTCCAGCAAACAGACACCTGGCGCCTCTTTGCCTGCTGTATTTTTTCAGCTGTTTATTATGCCGCCCCCCCCCCCCCCCTACCCCCTGGCTCTCTTCCTAAACCCCTTCGCTCACTGCTACGTGAAATTTTGTTTTTCTTTCTATCTGTGCGTGTGACATCCTGTCTTTTTTTTAATCATTCGCCTGCCACAGCAGAGTTCACGAATGGTGAGAGTGCAGAGACATAGCAGCCGACAAGCACACAGCGAGCGAAGGTCAGGAAACTGCCTGCGCCAACCAACGATCGCTTCTTGCAAATACGAAAATTTAAGGCTCAATCACATGCACATAATTTTTGAGTGACGACGACAGAATTTGCTGTTGCAAAGGGCCATTCGTCACGTATCGTGTCGCACGTTTCTGGAAAACGAGAAAAAAATGGGTTGTCGCCCGAAAAAAGCGTGACAATTTCTGCAACGTGATAGCACCCCTGATACTCGCTCCAATTGAAATTTGCTCTTCATGGTTGTTATCTGCGCATACTTAAAGCAATGCAAAATATAGGCTACCTTTTCTATAGTAATTTCTCAAATGGGCAGCAAGGCGGAGGCCGTATCTTGTTGTTAATCTTGTTGTTGAAGGCTTATTTTGATGCTTAGGCAGTAGCTTGCCGCAATGTTGGTTACTGGCTGCAATGTCAATGTCATCATCGCGGTTGCCGTGTGAGGTTGCCATGGAGTTAGCAAAGTGCATCGTAGCACACGCATCTGGGCGCCCCTCAAGATTGCAGCAGATACCACGGTTGCGGTTACACGATTGCGAGAAAATAAAAAAAAGCCACAAAGCACAATGGTGCATTTCACAGGCCAGTCACATACCTGTGGAGCTATGAGGTTACCAAGCTCTGGGGATGGACTAAACCAGCAGGTGCATGGCCAAAGACATTTCAAACGATGATCAGCTTACAAAAATTACAGGTATATCGGCTGCTAGCATAGCAGAGTAGGATTATTAAAAAAATGATGACCAAATTAACGCAACACTGCCGTATTAAATTGAAACTGGGCAAGTCAACCACCTGGATATTCGTAGTCTGAAGCCTTGTGTCAGAAAAAACATTCAATGGTTAATAAAACCTGGCATGTGCAATGCGGATGCTTTGTCTTGTCGATTGATTATGTGCCATGGGGAAGACAGTCCGAACGAGAAAAAAAAACAAACTGTACCATGTACCCAACGCAGGTGCCATTTTGCCAAGAAAAGTTCACATTCTTGAGTTGCATCAGCAAGTTGCAAGGCGAGCGTAGAATACGAAAGCTGCCATTATCATCCATACATTACTAGCATATAGACCTCTGCAAGTCATGATTACAAAAGAGATCACGCTTGTCACATTAGTGTGCAAGAACATTCCAAGCAGAAAGTGGATGAAGCAACAGAAAACACAGTTTTACGGTCAGACAGTGTTAAAATAAGTGACCCTTCTACAGCTTCACGTTCAAGTTCTAACCCAATGCCACATCCGAGAAATGATTATCCTGTGTCAAAGAAGCAGATGAACTTGAGATCACAACAGAGGATGTTGCATCGAAGTGGTTCTCACAAGTTACTACTAAGTGGACGTTCTTGCACAAGTCTCCCAGCAACACGAGTACAAACACAGATGCCACACAATCTTTCATTACAAGCTTCCATGCTACCACCCATCTCTTTGCAACCATACCTCGGAGCTGTGTGCTACAAACGGGTAGTTGTCAATTTCATGGACATGGAACCTTTTGGCTGCATGCGTTTCTTGCTCCAACTTCTCCTTGCTTAAGTGTGCAGAAAGTGACTGCTCAGCAAAGAAAACGCCGGGTTCTTCTTATAAGCAATTAGTGCTTCAGAGAGCATGCGCAGGCGTGCTCGTCTGATCGGTCACATTTTTTTTTCCCTCTTCTACAGCTGCCCACACGTCCCACCATATAATGTGCCTCCGTTGGCATGTGCCAGTTATATGACCTTACCTAGTTGCCCTCGTGCGCATGCTCGTATTGACAGGAGTTGCACAAACTAAATGTTTCATGCTTTGCGAGAGCCAATAAATACTAGGGTTAAAGAGCAATCCTGAATGTAGTACATACACACTGCAGCGTTCAGAGAAGGATTATGAAAGCAACAGCTTAGGAGTATGTGCACGAATGTGAAAGCAAAGCGTAGAGATGAAGTAAAGATGTGAGTAGACAGCCAGAAAGATCCAAGGCAAGTCACCTTTTGCAGATGGGAAAAAGCATGCTCCGGTAGTAGAGTGAGAGGAAACAAGTGATTAAGCAAACAAATGAACAAAAGAAAAGTATTGTACCGTCTTCGCCAAAATGTTGTTGCCAGGCCACATGGCAGCAGAGTACTGCTGCCCTGGTGCTGCCTAAAAAAAGTGAACATAAGAAAACAGAAAACTAAAACAACAAACAAAAACATCTGCACTGAGAAATACGCAAAGCAAAGGAAACAAACAAAAGAACACAACAAATAATCAACTGAAAAGAATACGCGGCATTTGTAGCCAGAAAAGAAAAAAAGGAAATAGACTCGCACACTCTTATCTTCTTCCAAGTTTTTTTTTTTTTTTCACAAACCAAAACGGCTGCTCTATGCCTAAGCGATGGACAGAGATGAATGCGTCTATAAGCAGTTGCAGGGCACAATAAACTTAGTAATTAAACTCCTGCCAGAATTCGCAAGCAGACAGTCTTAACAACCACAGAAGTTTCAATACCACAAACACAGACACACACACAAACAGAGAGAGAGAGGGGGGGAATTCAACCTGCATACTTGCCCACAGCTACTACACTAAATGTTCACACACATATGTAAGTGCTCATAAAGTAAAATGTAACATCACAACTTACAGAAAAATTATTGGCATGTGCAACTGCTCATCATAGCCATGTGCTGTTCACTAAAAGTGACTAAATGTAATATTGGCTGTGATGTAAATATTCGAGCTGAAATCATGCTCATATGACATGAACTGAAACTGGCGGAAGCGAAAGTAAGTGCCTCATTTGGCCTTTCAATCTTTGAGCCCAGTACACACATACTACTACATTTGTACACTCACAGACAAACGAAAATTCTTTCTCTGTAAGGCTCCTAAATCAGTTTAGTACTTGCTTACCCACGAGATAATGTGAAAGAAATGTGCAGAACCACAGACTTGGCGATAGAATGCCCGATGTTTGACATTTACTACAAACCTAACAGCCGCTGTAGACTCATGAGAGCATTAATGTCTTTCAAGGGAAGCTATATCTCTGTATAACAAAATATTTGAGCCAAAAACTTCGGACGTTTCTACAGTCCAGAAGAAGGAACGTCTGAGTGCCTAAGAATGCTTCTAGTGCCTCTAACCTTGTTGTTCTTGTGGTTAGATACCTTCCAATAACGGGCAACTCTTTAGCAACACTTTGAATATATGACCGCCAGCAAGGTGTGGTATTTGCAGTTGGAAATTATTATCTATTACCAGCAACTGCGGCGAGATCTTCACTACAGAGAGCAGCGGCTACTGTTTCACGTAATATGAGCCCAAATCATAACCTTAGGTGTGTGCAAGCAAGGATCAACTTAGCTTAACTATGGGGCCAGGCCCATGTAATGCTCAAAGCGGCTTTCAAATGGTACTGCAAACACCATTAATAAAGTTACTACATATGCTGCTACAGGGGGCAGTGATGTGTGTTCTCTCTTGCACATCCATTAGTGACTGCTGTAAAGTGGTTTTACGCAGTGGAGAAAAGTAACTGCCAAGAGACAAACAATGCCTGCAACAACAGCATTGCTGTGTTTTGTATAACAGTTCGGCTCCTATCCGGGCCGTGATGCACAGGATTGAAAGTTACGTCCAGACAAGAGGGCTAAAATGGCCATTGCGGAGCTTCAAATTCCTCATTCACAGGACATTATTAAAAAAACAAAAATGAATCAAGCATAATGCTCATCATCTATAACAGTATATTACCCCTGGTAAACTGCATCCGGATGTCAGAACTGTGACTACAGTCGAATGAATGCAATGGAAGACAGTTAGGTTACTGGTAAATAGCATTTAACGAACAATGTGAATAATATTTAATGCAGTCAACCAAGACTACCAAATTAGAGAAGGAAACCTGATATGTCTGCTGCAGGCTTTTGCAATCAGCCGAATAACATATGCAGCTCATTGCTTAGGCCTCTTTACCTATGAAAAAGCTCGAATTCAAAAGATGAGTGGGGACACAAACAAGCCCTTTATCTATTAATCTACACAATGAACAAATGCCTGCTAGCATTTGGCATTTGGACTGCACTATATGCTCAAGAAACTTATGGTAGCCTAGAGGACAGCCCACAAAGTGTCTGGTGCTGACTCTTATGGGCAAATGCACTCAGATGTGCAAGTATTTGTTATTCAACACATGTCACCCAGATGGACATGCACAGAAAACATGGGAAATTCTCCTATTATTACTGCTCCCTAGGAACATGCATACAGTGCATAAATCCAAGCCACAATAAATGTAGATACAAACAAGTCCATGGTCTATCCATTCCTATACTAATAACCGAAAGCCTGGTTCCATTTGGAGAGCACAATATTAGGAGAACTGAAATGGGCCTAAGCCATAAAGGCCAGATACCTGAACAGCAAGAATGTAATATTTGTCAATACAATGGAATATCAGCATTTATGTACCATGACTGTTATAAATGGATAATGTGGGTAATCGGTTGTGGTGTGCATTGTATGGCTACAAAGAAACGAACATAAAAAGTCAGTTTTGACTTGCACTATGCGGGTCTGAAAGCATTGGAAAAATTAATGACATCTTCCCAAAGGGAACTATAACAGGATACGAAGCAGCAGTGTTGTGCACGGGTGGCGTCACAGGTTGAACCATGCTAACGCGTGTGCTGCGGTGAGTGCTGGAAGATTCGTTTGGAGCGATGGCTGGTGTAGGTCTTATCATTCCTTCAGAGTAGACAAAGGCACTAGACCGAAGCTTGCACGCGTTTCGCCTTGGCTACCGCTGCCTTGTGATCGGTGAAGTGCACACTGAGAAGTTCCTGCAGACATTCGACGTGAAAGTTGGCAAAGAACAGATCGATACACGCTCTCCTTATCAAGGTGGGTAGTTTCCGTTTTGCTGACACGCACTTCAGTAAATGCATGTCACGCACATAATTTACGAGTTATTCTCTTCCTCCTCCGCTGAAGTCAATTCGAAGTCTCCCGCGACTATATGAGGCGCGCGTCGGCACCTCTCGCCGCAATCACCAGTCTCCTCCAGACAGTGCTAAACGTGCTCTTTCGAAAGTTTGGGAACCAGGTACAGCGCCAGGACCGCGACGTCACTGGCGCACACGGCAACAGACTTGGAGCAGGAGAGTCTTCGAGATGTTATAGATCGTTCTTCCAGGTCGCCTTCGAGTTGGCCGGCGGAGCCCAGCGCTTGCAAGGGGGCGGGCGCTTCGGTGGACGGCACGCGGTACTTTCGAGACGTTGCTGAGGACGGTGACATTGAGGATTCGCTGGCGTTGGCCTTCCAGTGTTAGCACTTCCGCTCGGCTTCCTTGGGTCACGTCTTGTTGGTGTTGCTGACGCTTGAAGACTCTTCCGCTCGGCTTTCTTAGCTCGCATCTGATCTGTATTGACCGCTTGCCCCGTCTCCATTCTCGAACGATTGGCGGAGTGAAGTGAGAGAGAGGCGACGCCCGGTGAGCGCGTGGCAGGCGAGGGAGAGAATGACGTCACCACGCACTGCGAGGGAAGGCGTGGCCTACTTGGCACTGCCCCAACACCTGCGATGAGGGGAGCACAGTATGGCGCGTTGGCATGGAGACACGAACGGCCAGCGTTACACAGGCTAGTCAAAGAGCTGCTTTGCATCTAAAATGAAAGCGAGTGTGACAGGCGGATGAATGCCAGCTTGCTAGCAGGCGGTTTAGTCATTGTGCTTTTCAACCAAATGTCCAGCAGCCACATTGACCTGGCAAGCATGAACTTCCACTCTGTGCCTGCTTCCTTTGACTGCGTGCTCTGCAGCTATACGAATCTGGTGAGCCAGGTCTGCTGTTTTGAGCCCACTTCGTTTGACTGGGTGTGCTGTGGCCATGTGAACCTGGTAAGCCAAGTCTCCTGTTCTGAGCCTGCGTACTTTTACTAGGCGTCCTGCAGCCATGTGAGCCCGGTGAGCCTGGTCTCCCGTTCCGAGCTTACGTCTTTTGACAGGGCGTTCTGCAGTCATGCGGACCTGGTGAGCCTGGTTTCCTGTTCTCAGCCTGCTTCCTTTGACTGGGCAACTTGCAGCCATGAGGGTCTGGCAAGCCTGGTCTCTTGTTCTGAGCATGCTTCCTTCAACTGTGTGTCGGACAGCCATGCCATTTTGGTGAGCCTGGTCTCCCATTCTGAGCCTGCTTTCTTTGACTGAGTATTCTGCAACCATGCAGATCTGGCGAGCCTGGTCTTTCATTCTGAGCCTGCTTCCTCAGACTGGATGTCTTGCAGCCATGCGGACCTGTCTCGCCAGGTCTGCAGGTTCTGCCTGCCTCACGCCAAATGCACACGATGTGACCGGGGCAAGCGCCTGTAGACCAGCTCTTATAAGGCGCCCACAGCTTGTGCCTGCAACTGTCCGGTGTCCTGTACTACAGTGACCTGATGCCCTGCCGTCCTGCTGTGAAATTATACTGCTAAACCATCAAGGCCTGTTCAAGGCATTTTGAGAGGTGCTGGATTCCAGACTAAGGGTTCAAGACCATGAAACTCATTGCAACCACGACTACATGCTGGCCAGTAGGATGGCTTATTTCAAAGTGTGATTGTCACTGTTGTATTATTTGTCAAGCGTGAAACTTATAGTCTGCATGAAACACCCGACTGTTGTATCAATTTCAGATCCTGCGCTCACATAACCCACTTATCGCAATTCTCGAGATCAGTGGCTCCAGTCAGACAGACAGAATTAGCTTGCATTTGTAAGAGCTCCTATGCAAGGAAATAATATAATAAGGAAAGCCAAAGTGACAATCAAGAATTTTGCAAGAGAAAAAATTCCTCCAAATGTGCAAAAGATTTTGGCCATCAGTAGAGATGAAAGTACAAGCCAAGTTATATGGGCACCCGTGCATGCCTCTTTCTCTGGCAGTGAGGTGGCTCATATTGTCCATGGCTCAAGGAGTTGCAAGCCGAGCCGCAACGCTGTCAGGGCTGGGGATGAGGAAAAGGTACATGGTTAGCTACAAATTACAATCGGCAAAAAATAAAAAAAATGAAGGCAGCTGCGCAGTAGGGTGAAGGAAGTGTGGAGCTGAGCAAAATCTTTAGTTTCTCTTTAGCTTTCTTTTTCTTTCCTTCTATCTTTCATTTGCCTCCTTTTG